GCTCTGTAACGATGTATTGTATATGCTGCCAGCGAATCCAGTTCCTGAAATCATCGAATTTTGGGCCGAAAAGAACGACAAAAAGTATTTTACTGTTAACAAAAAAATATTGTTATCAATAGATTAATAAAAATGTAAAGAATGAAGATGGCAATAATCATGATAACATTAGTAATATTAAGGTAAAAAGAAAAAGGTAATGTTAGCGAGATGTTACTGATGATGATGATAATAATAATGATAATAATAATAACAGTAATAATGATGATGGCAATAATAATAGTGGCAACAGTAATAATAATAACAGTAATAATAACAATGACTGCAGCAATAATGATAGTAATAACAAAAATAATGATAGTAATAATAATAATGACGATAGCAATAATAATTCGACTGTGTTCCTCTCCATTTCCACGGTGCTGGGCTAGCAGCACCAGACAAACTGCATTTGTTAACAAATACACGATTTCAGGCCCCCCGTCCTCTTCCAGTCTCCCCTGCCAGGGATTTTCATTGTTTTGTATCTTTAAAATTTCTACAACACTTAATGTGGGTATCTTACATTAGCGATGTTACCAGAATACTTGCCAAACACCGGGACATCTACGTCAGGCCTTTCAGTCCTGAGCTGCGTACTTCATCGGGTCTAATTATTTTCCATACTTTTTCACTTTTTACCCTTTTTTTTCCGTTATTTCAGCGCCGGTCTTCTCACAACTGTTGAAAGTATGGATTTCAAAGACTGGATTGCATCGAGGGGTCCGCTGGATGAGACAAAATTATTTAAGGTTTCATTGTTTAAATTTTAGATAAAGCAATCAAATATGTTAATAACACTAAAGGGATTCTTCTGTAGAACTTCCGGCCATAGAATCATTGACTTTTTCGGACAAAATTGATGAAATTTTAATGAATTAATGAGCTAATTAATGAAGAACATTATTATTGTCACTGTTGTTACTTATCGTTATTATTACTGTTAGTACTCCTGTACGAAAGTGTTTACCTTTCTTAGCTTTATCGTTATTAAAATCTCGATTTTTTACGACTGTTAAAATCCCAATTTTTTTTAACGATAATCATAATCTTGAATTTTTTCATGGAATCTATAATCATGATTTTTTTTTTTTGCAGAAAAACAATGACCTGTTGAAGATGTGTTTAAACAAAACTTTCTTATGGCAAGATCGTCCACAACGTTTTACACTGCTCGGCCATAGCGGCACTACGCTGAAGATGACATCTGTTCTTGGAAATGATCCGAAAAATTTGGAAGAACAAGTGAAAAGTTATGTTTTCTTTATTTTTTTGGTGATGTTATCCTTTCATGAAAAATTAGCAAAATCGAAAAAAAAGCATTGTTTCTGTCACGTTATTAGAAGGGAAAAATGTTAATTTTTGATTCAGTTTTTTCAAGTTTTTCTTTGATTTTGATTTATTTCTATGAAATATGTTTTGTTTGATTAAG